AGGATGTGACCCAAGTGGACCTGTTGGCTCAGGTTTGGGGTGTCGCGGAGTCGACACTAGCGAGGTCTGATGGTCCAGGTTCGGGGTGAAGCCGGAGGATCCAGATACGAAGTGTCGCGGAGCCGACACTGGTGAGGCCTGATGGCCCAGGTCACAGTGTTGCGGAATCGACATTAGCGTGGCCTGAGGGCCAGCTTTACAGTGTTGAGGAGTCGATGTTTGCGAGGCCTGAGGGCACAGATTCGGGGTGTCACCGAGGCGACGTTAGTGAGGCCTCTCGGACTCGACATTAGTGAGGCCTGATGGCCCAAGTTCGGGGTTTAGTGGGTCGATGTTAGCGAAGCCTCCTCGGCCGGGTGTTGCAGCATTGATGGTAGTGGGGCCTGATGGCTCTGTTTCTGGGTGTCGTAGAGTTGCCGCTGGCGACACCTGATGGCCATGATGGCCCAGATTCGGGGTGTAGCCGAGTGGATGCTAGTGGCACCTGATGGCCCAGGTCCGGAAGTGAGCCCTGATGGTGACCCTTGCTACGGTATCGCGTATGAGACTGAAGAGGGGCCGGGTGACCCATGCAGAGATGAATGTACTAAGGGCGCGAGGGCCGTTGTTTGCACATCGTGCGTGTTGCTGAGCGCACCGGATGGTCTATCCTCAGGTTGACAGTGCTGGCTGTGATGAAGCGGAAGTCCTGTAGAAGGTCGGAGAGCTCATTGAAGAGTGGTAAGGACCATGCTGGGGGCCATAAATTTGACTGAGGTGAGCCTGGATGGCTCGTGTGGGGAAGCTATGCATGCGATCGAGGCTAGGCTCGAAGGCCCTTATGAGGATGCCACTATTCCGGTTAGTTCACTGCGGCTTCCTTAGAAACTAAGACCAATTTTGCTTTTACTTTTCCGATTTCGAAATATTTCTGACAGCCTTCTGCCCTTGGGCCCCCTCATGGGCCCCGTATGTATGTTGTTACAGGGTGGTTAACTTCGCCAGCGGCCCCTTTCCCGGGCTCTCCCCTGCTAGAGGGGCACCCTAATCCGTCACCCCATCCGACTTCAGAATGTATTCGTTGGGTTCGGCAAATCACCACAAGTATCCAACCAAATCTAGCGGATCAACGGCGCCCCAACTTAGTTCCTGGTCAGCTCGCGAGCTGCTATTATCACGTCCTGCATCGTCCATAAGATGGGGGGCCACCTCCCTTTCCAACACCCCTCACACATCGAGAGGTTGGCATGTAGATATGAACCCGGGTCCTCTGGGAGCAGAAGTCAGGCCCTATCCTCTGCCAGCCACCTGCCTTTGTTATATAGCCGTCCAACTTCGGGCGGTTTTGGGGAATATTCAGAACACGTGCATGCGTGCTGGGCGGTGCATTTTGCGAAGCGATAGTCCAGCCAGTGTTAACACAGGCGCCTTGGATCTTGGTCATGCACTCTTTCCTGCATGCCCTTTACCCAACGTACAATCGCATGTGTCTACTCACGTCCCAGGAAGGGGGCCTTGGTTAGGGGGAATCGTTTTACCATCAGATGTTCAGCGCATCATGACAGTGTAGGCATATCTCCCCCCAGTTGAGGATGTTGATGTTCATCCGTTAGCTCCTAATGCGTGGTGTGGGAATTTGCCTCTGTGGGGAGACCCTGTTCTCCCGGAAAAGAGATTGAGTGTCACCCAGGGCTGGAGTATCGACACCACGCACTCCTGGTCTGTAAGGCACTGGAAACGTTAGGGAATGTTCTTCCTTGTGCAGGATGCTCTAGATGTGGTTATGCACACGCCGGACCAGGCAGGGCTAGCAATGCGCAGGGCATGGCATCAAACAGTGGACCAATACCTGCCCATTCACAGCTCTCAAAAATACAGCAAATCTTTGAGGCACTGCCCATAACGAATATCCATGATGATGTTGTTGTTGTTGTTACATGGTCGTGGGTGCGTTCCCCGTACCTGCAAACCACCCTAATACGAGCCGAGGGCTCAAGGCAGGGTTGCACGATACGGCACGACAGACTCAGAAATACGCGTATAATACGCGTACGTTGGCCAAAGTGAATAAATACGCTAAAATACGGCATGAAATACGTCATCCTCGAATGCCCCGTACACCAACCCCCGTACCTCCGCAAACATCTTTTCTGAACGTATTATTGATACTCTTTCATAATATTTAGCTTTTACGGCCGGGTGTTGTAGTCCAGTTGCTGTGAGTTTCCATTGCAATGGCTGATAAGGGGCTCGAGTGGCAGCACGTGACGGTCATTTCGACGGACAAAAAGAACAAGGAGAGCAAATGCAATTATTGTTTTGTCATTGTTAAGGGTTCGGCGACGCGCATTCGGGCGCACTTGGGTCATATCGAAGGGCAAGGCATCTCGAAGTGCCCCAACGTGCCACCGAAAGTGCGCGAGCTCTTCCAGAAGGTAGAGGGGGATAAACAGCTGGTGGCCGACCTGGTTTTCGTTTTCAGCAACCTGCGCCTGCAGGAACGCCTGCACGCTGTCGGCTACACGGGCAACGCTGTGCCCTGGGAGTCGGACAGCGACGACAGCGGCGTGAAGGAGGACTGAATTGCATGTTGGAGGCTGGTTGTTGTGTGGTGCCTGGGTTGCTGATGGCGGGTGTGCAACTTGTGTGGAATCAATAACTTGGTGTAGAGGCGCGAAACGATGTTTCAGAGGTGCGTTTGGTGGTTAACATTAATAGCAAGCTTCTAATCTGAGTGCATTTGAGCAGTTGAGGTGACTTTATAGGTTTCATGGCGTAGGCACGGCGGTCGGCGGTCGGCACGGGTCGCGGTGAGGTGACCCATGGGACAGGTGGCAGAGACAGACGTATTTCAAATACGTATTTCTTAACGTATTCCCGACGTAATTTTTCAATACGTATGTATTCAATACGGATACGTATAGTGATACGGATACGTACAGTGCAACCCTGGCTCAAGGGCTGCCAAATCGCCTATAAGCACCATCCTACCTCGCACTTCCAACGAAACAAGTGATGAAGGATACTAACGACCAAAGGGAACGATAAGAGTTGCGGTGGGACCATATGCGTTCCAGCATCCTTGCCAGGCGTTCAGGTTCCCACTTCATAGCGTCCTTCATATGCTCGAAGCGTGGGAAACCCATATCAGATCTGATTTTGTTGTACACCGGACAGTCCATCAAAATGTGCTTCTCGTCCTCGATATGGCTATCAGTGCCGCAGCAAGGGCATACTCGCTCCTCCCTAGGTATACAACGCCGTCCCTTACGCGCTCTGTTAGCCGCCAATGCCCAACAGCAAAGCCTAAACTGCATAAGCTTGCGGTTCGCTGAACGCGGGATAAACATTGCGATATGCGGGAGCACCTCCTTCCTGCCCGCTTGCTCGGCCGCCAGACCCATCCAATGCTTATACTTCGCCATGTGAATTCCTGGTTGCTTGCCATCTGACGGGTACACGTCAGGCTGGACATCTAAACGCGTATGCTTCCAACCACTCGCTAATCGGTCCTTGAACTCCAAAACCGCACCTTCTGGCATTGGCCTGTTCATCAGCCACTCCACTCGTTCGTCTACCTCGTGTAGCCCTTGCAGGGCCTCTTTCCATACGTCGTGCCCCCAAAAACATAGAAAACGGAGTAGTAGTGTCCCCCATCCGGCCCCTTCGGGGTTGGAGAGGGACTCTGCGACCTCCTGTCGTAAAACTTGGTGTGCCACAGACCCACGCTGTAAATGGACATGGTTCCAAAACCTCACAACCTGCTTGAGAACGTGGTAGTGTAGGGGTAGCTGCGACAGCTCTGCAAACAGGAATCGGTGTGTTTGTCTGGCAGCTCCTACAAATTGTCGCATGAAGGATATCTGAAGCTGCACTGCTCTGTCCTTTAGGCATGCCTCGAAGGGCCCCTCTGCAAGGTTACTCGCATCACTCCGCCTCTTGAGCCTGTCCAAGACCTCAGCTAAACGGCCGCCACGCTTGACAACCATACAACAGTATTGCTCGTACCTGCGTATCGAAACACCTCATCCTCACATCTGGGGCGAACAACTTTAGCTTATCTAATTTTGCACTCAACGCGAACATAGCTGCTCTAGCTGTGTCATACAACTGCTGACGGCAGGCCCAGAACTGCCGTTCTGGCCCATACACTAACCCCAGATATCGTGCACTATCCTTAGCCGGTATGGCATCTCCAGCCAGCCTGAGCTCATCACACGATGCTTGGACAGCATTTCTAGTATCGCTGTCGCTTGCAAAAACGAGGCGTTCACATTTCGACACATTTGGTCGCATCCCAAATCATCACAGAACACGTCCACAATGTTGAGCAGCTCCCCCATGCGTCCCGGTGTTGTTGCCAGAAGGCTAACGTCATCGGCATAGAGGAGGATGGACACTCACTCACTTCCAACCTCCGGTGCATCCTCTGGCCGTGCCCTGGTGTTAATACCGTCGTGCATATCGATGACGTCCGCGAGAGTTTCAATGTAGAGTCCAAACAGCTCAGTTGGTAATGGACAGCCTTGTTTCGGGGATCCTCAG